ATATTGCTGTGGTATGATGCTTTTAATTCTTTCAGGAAGATACTAAGAAGAGAAATAGTTGGGTGAAATGGAACTCATTGTTTTAATTTTTTGAGGAATCTCCACACTGATTTCCAGAGTGGTTGCATGAGTCTACACTCCTGCCAACAGTGAAGAAGGGTTTCTTTTTCCCCACAATCCCACCAGCATTTGTTATTGGCTGACTCCTTGATAATAGCCATTCTTTCTGGATGAGATGGAGTCTCGGTATTATTTTAATTTGGATCTCATGAATGACCAGTGATGTTGAATATTTTTTCATATATTTTACTGTTTCTATTTCTTATTTGAGAAGTGTCTATTCATTTTAGGTGCCCATTTTTGGAATGAGTCTTTAAATTTGGGTCTGATATTTTTGAGTTCTTTATATATCCTAGATAGTAGTCCTTTATCTGAGGAATACCTGGAAAACATTTTTCCCACTCTAGGTTGTCTGTTTACTCTGTTGGTGGTTTCTCTTTAATAAGCGAGATCCCAGTTGTTGATTCTTTGTAATAGTACCTGTGCAGTTGGGGTTTTGTTCTTAAAGTCTTTGCCCACACCGATGTTTTCTAGAGCTCTACCTATTCCATCTTCCAGCAGATTGTTTCTGTTTTAATATTTAAATCTTTAATCCATTTCGATTTAGTTAGTATATGGTGAAAGATATGGATCTGGTTTCAATCTTAGACATGTGGAAAACCAGCTTTTCCTGCACCATTTAGTGAAGGAGCTGTCTTCCGGTGAAGGTACTTGGCTTCTTTGTCAAAGATAAGGTGGCTGAGCATGTCTGGAGTTGTTTGTGCATTTTCCAGTCTGTTCCATTGATCCTCAGGCCTGTTCTTTTTCCAATAGCATGCCATTTTTATCACAGCATTGTAGCATAATTTCAAGTCAGGGATTGTGATGCCCCCTGCCTTGCCTTTGTTGCCCAGAATTGCCTTTATTCTCCTGGGTCTCTTTTGGGAATGTCTTTCTTTTTTGTTGTTGTTTTGTTGTTGTTGTTGCTATTGTTTGGTTTTGTTGGTTGGTTGGGGTTTTTTTGTTTTTATTTTTTGTTTTGGTACTTTAGAACTTGGGACCTTGCTCTTGGAAAGCAGACAGCAGAACCACTGAACTAAATCCCCGGCCCAGGAATCTCTTTCTTGAAGAGCTTTTTTTCCCTTTTTTGCTTTCAAGATTTACCCGCTCCCTTTCTGATCTGGCCTCACACTTACTGGCAATAATCACAGGAATGATGCCCCTCTTGAGTCCATCTGCATGAGACTTTTTTAGATCTGTTTTGTTCATCTGCTGACTCCTCATTCGGGGGATTTGGAAGGGAGAAAGACAGATTAGAGTGCAGTTAAGGGGCAGTTAAAGAGTAGGAGAGAGAATATAGTCAGTTGTTTCAGGAATTGCCAAAGACAGAAGCAGAAAAAAGAGTCAGTATTTGGAGGAGGAAGTCAGATCAAAAGGAACAAGTTTAAGCTTACATTTTAAGATGCAAAAATGTATTTTTATTTCAATGCTGGTAGATAATGCCTACTAGAGAGAAAAAAACATTGTGATGCATGTGTTAGCTTTCTGTTACTATTGCAAAAGCCTGAGATAACTAACTTACAAATCTCTAAAACTGGCCACAGTTTTAGAGATTCTAGTTCCCGATATGTTGGTTTCATTGCTTTTGAACACATTGTGGCAGGAGTGTGTGGTTGAGCAAAAGTGCTCACTTCATGACCAGTGTGCAAGAGGAAGAGAAAGGGGTCCTTTAAGGGTACACCCACAGTGACCCAAAGGCCCCTCTTCTCAATACTGTTGTGCTGGAGGTGAATTTCAAAATGAATTCTGGAGGAGACATCTTTATCCAAACTATAGTAAAGAAAGGGGCAGTACCTGGAGGAGCAAACAGGATCGAAGAGTGAGAATATGAAAGGATGAAGAATAAAGAGATTTGAAAAGATAAGGAGTGATATTAAGGTGAAACCAAGAATAGGAAAGGGGATTCAGGTGTGATGATTTCTTTTTTTCTTTTTTTTGGTACTGGGGATCAAACTCATTACCTTGCACCTGCTAAATCCCAGGCCCTCAGGTGTGAGTTCTATGAATATTCTCTGTAATAAGAAAAAAAATTGTCTAAAATCTCATTTTTGAGGAAGAACCCTATGTAAATTTAAATCATTTTATTGATCATTTCATTAAGTAGAGTTTTTATTTGTATGTTATTTTGATACATGATAAATTTCTGAAATTATAGATCATATGTTTGCACATAAAAACTTGAACAGTCTTGGCTATAGTTTTGTGTTTTTGTTTTTTTTTGGGGGGGGGTTGTGGGTTTTTTTGGTACAGAGGATAATCATGTCACAGTTGTTGAATTCCGTGTCTGATGTGGTTTCTTGTTTCTTCTATATTTATTTCCTCAGGGCTCTGTGTGACACTCCAGGTGTGGATCCTAAGCTTATCTCTAGAGTTTGGGTCTATAATCACTACAGATGGATCATATGGAAACTGGCAGCTATGGAATTTGCTTTTCCTCAGCAATTTGCTAATAGATGCCTAAGCCCAGAAAGGGTCCTTCTTCAACTAAAATACAGGCAAGTTTAAAGCATTATGCTAAGTAATCATCTCCTGTCGTACGATCCAGACCTCTTCGGTGTGATTTCCTTGTCTTCATGTTGTATAAAGTTGTTCTCTCATCTCCCAGCCCTCACTTAAGAGAGACCACACATTTGCATGCTCTTGCTTCCCTCTTCCCTACTCCCTCATTAACCTCCAGTTGTATGAAAAGAATGTGAATTACTAATTTGATCCATTATTCGGGATTTGCTAAATTAGCTTTTTTTTTTGCTTTTTTAACAATGTAAGACAGTATATTTCTGACTAAAAATGTTTAGATTATCTTTAAAGTATTTCTTTGATAAATTTTCTTAATTATTTGGTGGCTTTGTTTACAGTGAAATTCTAAAGGCACAATTCCTAAAATAAGCATTTAAAACATTTTTAGATATGACGTGGAAGTTGATAGAAATAGAAGATCAGCTTTAAAAAAGATAATGGAAAGGGATGATACACCTGCAAAAACACTTGTTCTGTGTGTTTCTGACATTGTTTCATCAAACACAAATACACCTGAAACTTCTAGCAATAAAACCAGTGTTGCAGATACCAAGAAAGTGGCCGTTATCGAACTTACAGATGGATGGTATGCTGTCAAGGCCCAGCTAGATGCTCCTCTCTTAGCTCTCTTAAAGAGTGGGAGGCTGGCTGTGGGTCAGAAGATCATTATCCACGGAGCAGAACTGGTGGGCTCTCCTGATGCCTGTACACCGCTTGAAGCCCCAGATTCTCTCATGCTAAAGGTAAATTAAATCAATGCACGTTGTTCTCTTTTAGTACTTGAAATATCTCATTCCAGGCTCTCCTTGCCCCAAGGGTTTGTGTTAAAAAGTCTGCTTTGATTCTGATGGGCTTTCCTTTATATGTGATTTGTTTCTTTTCTCTTACTGCTTATAGTATTTTGTTCTTCTGTTGGGTTTCTGGGATCTTGATTATTACATGTCTAGATGTAGATTTTTTTTTTTTTTTTATTGTAGCTAGTTGGGGTCCTATATGCCTCAGTTATGTGAATGTCAAATTCTTCCCCTCTGTTTGGGAAGTTTTCTGTCATTAATTCTGTGAACAGCTTCTTAAAGTCATTTGTATTTTCTCCTGCTACTTAATGGATTCCTATCAGACTTATGTTATTCTTCTTTGCATCATCTAGGAGTTGTTGGATCAATTTGTCATGATCCCGTACTGTTTTTAAGAGACCTCTCTTTTCATGGTCACTGACTGCAATCTTATCTTCTATATCTATCTTCGCATTCTTTTATTATGTTGCGTACACTTTCTATGGAGTGTTTAATCTCCTGGATTATGAATTCCATTTCTTTCCTGTGTTGGGCGTTTATTGTTTCCATTTCTTTCTTATGCTGGGCCTTCATGGCTTCTATCATGGTCCTGAGATCATCTATTTTTTTGTCAGTTTCTGCTCTAGAGTCTCGAATCACGACTTCCATTTTGCTCACTATCTCTATAGTTATCTGGGAAATTATTTCTGCTTTGAATTTTTCCAGAGCCTGATTGATCTGTTTTGTTACTTCCTGTGCTTTGAGTTCAGGGTGTCCTGGTGGCTCACTATCGGCCTCTTCATCCTCATTTGCCCTACTGTTTGCCATTGGTAAACTGGAAGTCTGTCCTTGTGTCTTGCTTA